TTCTTCTTTCTCCTCCTACGCGCAATGCCCGTGGCGAGCGTCGGCAAATCGTCACCGCGGCGACCCGAGACGTGGGCCTGCGTGTCCGGTCACTTTCACTGTTGCATCTGGTCAAGGAATTCGAGGCGGCCTTCCTTTGCGTGTCAGCGATCGGACGTGGCTATTGAGTCCGGTCGGCTGCTGAGCGGCGTCGGTCACCTCAAGATAGCCCCCTTCTCAACTCAACTTTGCCACCCTTGATTAAATGTGCCCAACCATCAAGTGTATCACGTTGTGCGCGTGTGTTAGCATATTTTCACAAACATTTTAAAGGGTGTTAGCACTCACTAGAGTCTAAATGCATATGCAATAAGTTAGAGCATCTAGTGGCACTTTGATAACGCATCTCGTCACGAGTTTCACCCTCTTAATAATAATGGCTATCGATTCTAAATGTGATCATACTGCAGCTAAGTGTCTCGATCACTAAACCAAAAAGCTCCTATCAAGTTTCACCTTTGCCTTGAGCTTTTGTTTTTCTTTCTTATTTTCTAAGTCCAAGCACTTGATCATCACCATGGTCACACCATCATCATGATCTTTACCATTGCTCCACCACTTGGAATAGTGCTACCTATCTCTCACGATCACTTAGATAAACTAGGTTAGCACTTGGGGTTTGATTAATTCACCAAAACCAAACTAGAGCTTTCAACCACTCTGTACACACCAGTAGAGCTCCGATGCTCAAAACATCCCAAAACGCATGCTAAAACCTTCTCAAGAACTACTCATCGATTGCACTACGGTGCATATAGCTCGTATGCATTCAAATGTTGTTTCTCTTTGTTGTTAGATTATTACGCCCAAAATCTCCAGCATAAGATGCACGATGCACACAGGAAAGGTAATTTGTGAATGCATTTTTAGCCATACAATATGCACTATTTGGAACCTCCCGGGTACAACAACTCAAAGTGCACACCGGAGGCTCTGTGAGTGCAAAATAATATCACCAAGTGCATCTCTCAAACTATTTTCGCAAGTGTGCTAACTCTCCAAATGTGTTCCACATGAACACCAACACTTTAGCACTAAGTTACCATTTCAAAATATTTTTCAAAGCATTTTCACTTGATTGCTTTCCACGCCACTCGATCTAAATGCAACATGAGTTAGATCTCTCTCCTAGTGGCACTAGTAACCATTCAGTTCACAAGAAAGCCCCTCTTGATAGTATGACAATCTATCCTAAACCTAGTCAAACACTTCTCTACTCAACCCTTGACCGGTGAAATGAAATGCCCTACAAATATACCTTTGCCTTGCACATTCCATTCCATCTCCATGTCGGTGATGCCACAACAAGCATCTAACCTCCATCTTGATCAAATGACGAACAATGGTCATCCATCAATGTAGCCAACCACGCTACCTTGATAATTGCCTATAGCATGAAGCTCCTCCTTCATTCTCCATCAAGCCACCTGATCACCACAACAAAGCAACGCTTGACTTATCTTCCATGAATGAAATATTCCACTTCATAGCTTCACATGGTCTTATTGGTTCATCGATCGTAGCCTCGCTTGCTCTTCACCATTACCTCGATCCATCGGTGCCAAGCCCTCTACTCACACTTCGGCCGCCTTGACGATCCATCGCTTTTGAGTCTCTAGCTTGCCCTTCACGCTGGGTAATTTATCCTTCATAGCCAAGCCTCGCTCTTGATCTTCTCCACCTAGCCATATGACACCATATCATGTCTCATATTCAATGGGATCCTTTTGGAAAGTGAACCAAGCATACCCTAAAAAGTCCCTAAACAAGAGCACATTTGGTTTCTCGTGCAAAAAACTCCCTAATAAAGGCGCCTTAGGTTTCTTAGGCAAATATTGACTAACCATTATGGAGTGAGAAACTAAAGTTATAAATGTGTTTGAATAGCCAGCTAGCTATTCTCGGAGTGTGTCTTTGGCAAGCTATGCCAATATTTTTCTGTCTTTGGGAAGCTATACTAGCATTTTGTGCTGTAAGTTTTTCGATGCTAGCTGGCTACAAAACCAAACACGCTCTAAGCCTTTTGTTGTGTTGACCTGTCGCAACTTGCTTGTTGTAGCCACCTTACTTAGCTGGTTTGGGTTGGTACAAGGTGGGTGCAGGAGGGATGCTTATTCGGATCAAAAATAATGATGACCATTAAATGAGTGCTCTTCAACGAAGACGTCAGTCAAAAATGATTGTAGCTGCACCATATCGATGTAGCACACATATGACACAATTGAACGTATACTCTGTCTTTTGATCGTAGCTGTATATCTGTCGCAAAATTCAAAAGAGCACAACAACTCTATCATATAAAAAGACAATAAACAGTGAGACAACATGTCACATCATACTCTGCGATGTACTCTCTCCGTCTAAAAATTAAAAGTGTCGTTTTTTGGCTTTTGAGCTTTCTTCTTTGTTTGATCGTTCGATCTTATTCAAAATTTTAATATAAATAATAAAATAAATAAATCATTATTAAAATGTCTCTCTTGATAAAATAAGTCATAACAAAATAAATAATATTTATATAAATTTTTTGAATAAGATGAACAGTAAAGCAAAAAATCGGCCCACGTCGAGCTTATCCCATATCCGAACTTGTTTGACTTCTTTTTCGATTCGGAATAGTGTTTTTCTCTCATGACATTTTAAGTAGTAAGCAATATTTTTTCACCAATTTTAACTAAAATTCAGTTAGCAAATTTAACGAGCCCTATAAAGTAAAAAAACAGCACTTTCAATGAGACGAAGAGAGTAATTGACTGTACACCTGACTTTCGGTCACAATCAGACAACTGCCTGGAATCCAGGAAAAAGCCATCGAAAATTCAAAAGAGCACAATAACTCTATCATATAAAAAGATAATAAACAGTGAGACAACATGTCACATCATACTCAGTGATGACTCCCGTCCTATTAAAAATGTTGTTTTTGACTTTTGAACTTTTTATTTGGCTGTTCGTCTTATTCAATTTTTAATATAAATAATAAATTAAATAAATTATTATTAAAATATCTCTAATAATAAAATAAGTCATAAAAATAAATAATATTTATATAAATTTTTTTGAATAAGACGAATAGTCAAAAAGAAGTTTAAAAGTAAAAAATGGAACTTTCAATGGTCCATGCAAATGCTTGCTTTAAACCCGACTTCGATCCGGGCTTTTTTTATCCAAGACAAGATTTTTTCTCACAAATTCTTCCGAATTTCTCCAAACCATCCTAATTCTTCCAAAACTATACCATCCGAACGGGACCAATGACATGGAGAGAGTAATTGACTGTACACCCTGTCTTTTGGTCAAAACGAGACAACTCCTGCATTGCCTGGAATCAAGGAAAAGCCCAGTCCCACAGCTAGTTTGTCCTTTTTAGCTCCTAGAAATCATAGAGAGGCCTGGTTTAGATTGCAAGAGTTAAAAAATTTAGCATTGTAACACTTTTATTTGTATTTTGACAATTATTGTTCAATTATGGACTAATTAGGCTTCAAAAGATTTGTCTCGTAATTTACAATTAAATTGTGTAATTAGTTATTTTTTATCTATATTCTTTGCTGCATGTATGTATCCACAGATTCGATGTGATGGAGAGAGTGAAAAACTTGGAACTTTAAAGCAATCTAAGGAATCGATATTTGTATTCTGTAGCACTTTCGTTTGTATTTGACAATTATTGTCCAATCATAGGCTTAACCAGGCTCAAAAGATTCGTCTCAGTAATTTACAATCAAACTCGTATAATTAGTTATTTTTTATCTATATTTAATCTCCATATACGTATGTCAAAGATTTGATGTGATGAAGAAAAGAGTGAAAAAACTCATAATCTAAACACAAGGCCAAAGCCACACAGTAGAAAAGGTATGCATGGAAATCCCCGCATTGGGCCGTTGCCCGTTGGCGATTCTGGTGGTACACGTACACCACTGGCGCAGCGGTCATGTCGGGTTCAAACACCGCATCCCCCAATCGAACGGTGCTGCGGGCGCTTTCGATTCGAATCGCCAATCCTCAGCCGCCCAATGTGCGCCTCGCCCAAAATTCAAACACGCCCAGCCTATCCCGACGTGGCGGTGCCCATGAATACGCCCCAACACTCAGGGGCAGTATCGTCATTTGTCTCCCGCAGCCAGAAAGGGCCGAGGACGCGCAGCGCGTGCGCAGCACCCAACCCCTGCCTATTTTGCTCTGTTCTGGACGCTACGCTCTCCTCTCCCCTCCCCTTCGTCTTCCGCCATTCCCGCTATCGCGGAGCGCAGGGTGAGCTCCTCGTCTTCTGCGGCAGCATCGGAAGGTGAGCTCCTCGTCTCTCTGGCTGCTCTCGACGCGGCGGTCTGGGACTCGCCGCCAAGTATATTGCTGCGCTCGTTTGCAAGTGGGGTTTTCGGTTCCTCTGTTCTAACTTCGTTGGGGTTTTGTTGGGGCTGGTGTGGTGAAGCTGGTGGATGGCGAAGGTGGATTCGGTGGCGCCGGTCCCGAGCCCGACGTTCATGGACGCCACTCCCTGAACCCGCCGCCGCCGCTGGTGGTGGAGGAGCTCGTGCTGCGCCGCAGTGCTCGTTGCCTCAATAGGCCAACCCGGCCCAGCTACGCGGACCAGGAGCCTCCTAAAAGCCCGGCGGCCGGGGCCCGGGGCAAGCGGAAGAGGGATGAGGAGAAGCCAGAGCTGGTGGCGGCGCAGCAGAGGGTGCCAAGAGCCCTGGCAGGAAGGTCTCCAAGGTCGAGGCGGGTGAGAGGAAGCCGATGCCCGTGATTGCGGCGGTGCCGGTCTCTTGCGCTGGCGTTGCTGCGGAAGACGATGCGACGGGGACAGGGAAGAGCGCCAAGCTGAGGGTGAAGGAGACATTGAGGGCGTTCAACAGCCACTACCTCCACTTTGTGCAGGTACCGTTGTGTGTCTGAATGCTCAGGTATTATCCAGTTTGGTTCATGTTTTCGCTGAACTTGTAAGCATGTTGATACAGGAGGAGCAGAAAAGAGCTCAGGCTGCGCTACAGGAGATTGAGGCTAAGAGTGGCCTCAAACGTCAGACCAAAGGGGTAAAAAAGGTGCGAATCTTAGCTCTGTCTTGGAATTTATGTAATACCGATTTCTCGTATGCGTTTGTTCGTTAACTGTGCTTATGGGTCTATGAGTTGTATCATGGTGAAAACTGTTCGGTAATTTTGTATGCTACTTTGCCCTTATAAATGCAGAAGAGCAGTAAGCAAGAGGCTGAAGCTGAGGAGAAAGAGAAACGCCCATCAAAGCGGCCTGACCTGAAGGCAATCACCAAGGTACATGTTGTTCTTTGCCATTCTTCTCCGTTACCGAGCTGAATCCCTATATGTGTTTGCTATACTTGCTGGTCTTATTCTTATTGTTGAAATCCCAGATGCAAGAAATGAATGCCGTGCTTTATCCAGAGAAGAGGATTGGGCATCTACCAGGTTAATCTTTTACTTCTCTCCAAGGAAAAATTTGTATTGTGAAGTTTGAGGCGCATGAATTTAGTTATATATATATATATATATATACATATACATATATTTCCATTTTCTATATGGATGTGTAAAGTGATGGTCTTATCCAATCCTTCTCAGGGATCGATGTCGGAGATCAGTTTTATTCTCGTGCTGAAATGGTAGTGTTGGGCATCCACAGCCATTGGCTCAATGGCATTGACTACATGGGGATGAAATACCAAGCAAAGGTAACAGCAGCAGACATTTCTGTAGAAGTAAAGAGACGTTTTTCAAGAAAAAAATAGACGGGAAGGTTTTGGATCAGGAAATTTGCAAGTTTACTTCATTCTGAACATGCCATAGAACATCTCTTTTGTTCATTTGATAGGGGAATCACACCTTGATCCAACATGCTTTTATCGCTGTATGTAATTATTCAATATTAGCATTTCCCTTTCAGCACTCCCAAGTTACCCCTTCCGATCAGATATATAAGTCCATCTAGGTGTATCTTTAGTCAAACTTTTTTTTACCTTTTGACTATCAATATCTGAATTTTAGTCGTATACTAGATTCATTATGAATCAAGAACCGTTGCTAGACTGCTGACCGCCTTGCAAGTTGGGGGCTTCCCACCCTGCAGTTTGTCCCTTGTGTGATCAGGCCCATGAAACGATACAGCATACCCTGATTGCTTGTGTTTGCAAGGCAGGTTTTGACAGCTATTTTTTTTTCTGTGTTGGGGTTGCTTCCTTTTGCAGTAGCTGGTGGAGCAAGAAAATCAAGGCAGTTCCTAAGGAGATAAAGAAAGGGCTTTATTCGCTCATAATCTTAGTTGCTTGGGAGATTTGGAAACATAGGGACCACTGTGTCTCTGAGGGTGGTAGTCCTTGCTTTCAAAAGGTTCTGCTTGTAGTTCATGAGGAGTGTAATCTGTGGTGCTGGGTTGGTGCTAAGGCTTTACATAGATCCTATGTAGGTTGTTGCCATTGGCTGCTTAGAATCCTGATGGTTTTTTTTGTCGTGTTTTTGTTTCCAGCGTGTGATGCTGTTAGCGTTGTACTAGGTGGCCTAGGGGTGTTGGCTCTGCCACTCATTTGTTTTTTTCTACTTAATTAAATGACACAAAGATCTCTTGCGTCGTTTGAGAAAAACAAAGATTCATTATGAAAGATAGATCATGTTATATAGATCTCTTTATATTTTCATATCGACTGGCAAGATCTGCATTATTTAAGATAATATATTTTTATAGATTTGTGTGTCAAAGTGTCATATTGGAGACTATGTCAATGTCCTCATGGATAATTCCTTGCTGCAACATCTTGTAGTTGTTTCTTTGTATTTTTCTAAATGTTGAGCAATTTATTGGCTATTCCATTTCAAGCTTCTAAAACAAACCAGAAATGGCTCCTAAAGGGAGTGATCATGTGCCGTAACTAATAATTTTGAATTTAATTATGCAGAAGGAGTATGAGAAGTTAACTTTTCCACTAGCCACCTGTATTGTAATGTCGGGGATATATGAAGATGATCTAGACAAAGCCGATGAAATTATTTATACGGGTCAAGGAGGAAACGATTTACTTGGTAACCATCGCCAAATTGGCTCTCAGCAGTTGAAACGTGGGAATTTAGCATTGAAGGTTGGTTTCAATGGTTCTTATTTATTACTTAGTTATATCCAATGTTTTCTGATCGGCTTATCGTTCCTAATCGGTCTGGTACCGATTAGGACGATCAGGACGATTAGTCGACCTCTGATCGGTCTAATCGTCCATATAACCGTCCAGCATATAACAGGACTATATAAGTATATATCATATATGTATGGTATATATATAATATACCATATACTATATATTTATATAGTAGACATCGAACATATTTCTAGTTAGTTGGTTACTTACCTATGAGATCTGACTCCATATTCTTGTCCCAACCTCCATATGTTTGCTGATTTTCTGCAGAAATAATAGATAACTTGAGTAAGTAGATGCAAAAGAATAGTGTGATGATCGACAAAGATTACACTAAGCACATACTCAATCCAGATCCGAGAAAAAGTAGGAATTAAGAAAACTAGCATAGTCCATGACTTACTTAATATAGTACGAATGCGAGTACATACTACAAACTAAATAATTAAACACCGCAAACAACATTCATAGTTTTAAGATAACACTAGCCGCCATTCAATCAAAGATTCAACGACCATCTAAATCTAAATAAGCAAATCATCATCCAAATTGAAGCCTCCTCCTCCATCTCCACCCGAGTCTCCATCCACCTCCATTCCTACTTCACATTAGATGCCTCTGGTGAACTTGTGCTTCATGGTCATCATCTTCATCATCAATGCTATCTGGAGCAATATCTGCATTTCTTGCAGCGATCCTTGGACGCTTCTGGTATACATCTGGTGACAGGAGAGAGGTCTTTGCGACGACAGCAAGCAGACCCTAGGCAAGTTGTGGCCTGTAGATTCTCAAATGCACCAATAGCTTCATCAACATGAGCCCAAGTCGATTCCTCACAATTCTCATCCACATTCATTATCCCATTGAAATTCATCTAGCGTGAGAGGGTTGCTCTTACATCCTTTGCAACCAAGCTCTCACGATTTTTTGAAACCTGTTTGACATCTTTTTATTTATGTGACATAGACCAATTTATTGAACCTCTTGTGCTCTAATTTGTTCCTCTTTTGGTGTGGGACTGCATAAAAATAATGAACAACACATTGGTTTGCAAGCAATATCGCAGATACATAATTGATTTTACTTGAACTAGGTGGTACTTATATGGGAAAAAACACTCCAATTACGCTCACAACTTGATGCGAGCAGCAAAGACTAATAATTTTCTTTGCTAGACTTTGGAGCTCAAATGAGTAGCCACCATAGGAATTCCACCAATACTGAAACACAATTACCTAATAATCAGGTCATAACAAAGCAAATATTGAGAAGGATTGAAGGTTTTAAAATATTCAAAACTTACTAGGGTTCTTTTGTCTCATCCCTTATTGCTAATGGCATTGAGAAGCCTTCACCTTTGACTGTTCATAATCATCGACTTGACGAGAAATCTTGGATTGTTCATCGTCATCCGCCACAATTTTGTATAAAATTTCATTGAACATGATCCTTAGCCTTATGACTTTTCTCTTGTTTTTCTCCCTTAAGGCAAAGAACTTGCTGGATTCAAGAATAGGGCTGCCCCATACAACTTCATTGCATTTGGTTTTCCACCTATTATCATAGCGCTTCATTACTTCTTTAAGCAAGTCGGTTTTAGCTTTTAAAGAATCTTTGATGGTGGTCTTTGCATGATCCATGGCTGCCATGATCTCGGGAGCTCGCTAGTGTCTCATCCCCATCTGCAATCCTTAGAGCGACGAGAAGGGGCGTGAAGCTCTCAAGCAACACTCCACTCTATTCCAAAAAGGCATGGAAAGGACAATATCCTCAACTTGTTTGCCTTCACTAGTGTTAGATGAATTTGTTAGCCTGCCATTCTTCACTAACAACTAAAGCTCTCAAGCCATTCTTGTGCTTGTACATACTTGCCAATGTTAGGTAAGAAGTAGCAAATCGAACACTGGTCTCACAAGATCTCCACCTATCTTGGTCTCACAAGATCAAGTATCCTCCATGCTTGTATAGAAATCTGCACACTTTCTTGCCCCAATTGATGGCAGTGTTGAATTCCTTTATCTCACCAATGTCTTGCAGCAACAAATTCAGACAATGGGCAGCACAAGGTGTCCAAAACAAATGTGGGATCCTCTCCATTAGAATCCTTCCCGCTGCCTTAAAGTTTGCCCCATTGTCTATGACAACCTGCACCACATATTCCTTCCCAATCTTGTCAACTTGCTGCTCCAACAAATCAGCTAGCATTTGTGCATTTGCTATCTCACTTGAAGCATCCACTGAACCTAGGAAGAAGGTCCCTGCTGGACTGTTGGCAAGAAAATTGATTATATGGCGGTGGCTTGTATCCGTCCAACCATCGGACATGAGAGTGCAGCCATATTCTTTCCAACTCTCCTCATGCTTCTTTCTTAGTTCTGCTGTCCTGTTGACAGTCCTTTCAAGCAATGGTTCCCTTATGTCATGCATGGTTGGTGAGCGGTACCCAGGTTCATACTGCCCAATGGACCCTGCAACAAAAGGGAGGAGGAAGCAGCAAGCAGCAGGGAAGATCCACGGATGGGCTGCTTGGATTGGAACTGGAAGGGAGGGAGGAGGGAGTGAGATGCACGCAGCAGGGAAGAGATGGAGCTTAGCTGCACACACAGCGGGAGTGAGGAGTACTGAGGAATGAGGAGAGAGAGTGGGGGTGAGGTATATAAGAGAAACCCTAATGGGCCTGGCCCAAATAAATATAGCCCAGTAAACTGAAGTAGTCCATCTGACTATTTAGTGCTGATCGGCAAAGAGACCTAATCGGACGATTAATCGCGAGTAATCGACGATTAATCAGACGATCAGGTTTCTGATCGCTCTGATCAAATCGGAGGGCCTAATCAAGTGCTAAGTACCAATAAGGACGATTAATCGCGATTAATCGGACGATCAGAAAACATTGGTTATATCAATTGCATGTAATGTACTGTGTTCCACTTTTTTGTGGTTATGCTTCTGTTCCAAGTTATAATTAATTTTGGCTTTGTCCTAAGTTAAACTTCCTCAACTTTGACAGTTTATACAAAAGTACACAAACATCTAGAACATCAAATGATCAAGTTTGTTCAATCAAACTCTTCACAAAATAAATTTTAATAGAGATTTTGTTTCAACTTGTAGATGTCTATATATTTTTCTAAAAACTCGGTTGCGGTTAAAGAAGTTTGATTTAGGGCAACCAAAAGTGAACTAGAAGTTGGAACAGAGGGAATATTATAGTTCTTCTATAAAATGTGTTGTAATGTGACATACCAACTTGACTTGATTTGTCCCATGGTGGATCATGTGCACATGTGTATGATAAGTAGGGTGTTTAGTCCCATCTTGCTTGCATAGGGTGAGAAACACCAACATATAAGCTTAGCTGGTCCAAAATCCAATAGCACTAGCCCCAAATTAACCCTTCTACGTGAAACACGGACAAAAGTGTAAGTGGGTTTGTTATGAGTGTGGTTTAGTAGGTGTGCAGGGTAGGCCTAGTCTTCATTGGACCCTATGGGTCTGATTGGTTGCCTGTATTACCCTATATCCAGACTTGTGCAGTGCAGTTTGCTCGTGAGTGCTCAAAGCAAGCCTAATGCTGCATTGGCTAGTACGCCAGATTTTTTCATATTAGACAATGCAGGGCTGCACAAGCTGATGTGCATACAAAAATGAAATATTCTCATCCTTCATACCTTTACTAAAAACATGGCACCTCAACTAGAACATGGAGGTGACTACATGCAACAAAATTTAAACAACCAAATATAGTTTTATCAAATGTGTCTTGTCTGTGCAGACTGCAGAACAACTAAACACCAAGACACTTCATACGCTTATGTTGCGTAAGGCCTAATGTAGGCTAAGACTGGTTTTCCAGTTGTTCAAGCCATGACCCATGGCATGTCTGACATATTAAACATTTCAGTGCCCGAGTTAATTTATATACTCAACATCTTGGTTGAGCGCGGTGGTAGGTCCTCTGGTTGGGAGGCTGCCGGCCAGGGTTCAAATCCTGGGTTGCATGGAAAAAACGTCCATCGATAGGTAACTGTCTACAGAGATATACGTGCTGCAGGCGTGTCCTGGGCAGCCAGCTTTCGGGGCCTTTATCCGACGGGTTGAGTTTTTTCTCTCTTATCGATCACAAATGTTTTGCTGTACACTTTCAAATGAATCGGTCTCTAGCTTATATATAAATTAAGCTCATTTTATTGATCTCATTTTATTTTACTGTTGCAGAATAGCAGGGACAATGGTAATCCTATCCGAGTTATTCGAGGTCATTTGTCAAAAAATAGCTATACGGGAAAGATCTACACCTACGATGGACTTTACAAGGTCTTTATGTTTTCCGAATTCTCTTATGAATAATGTAGACCAGATGTTCTCGTCTTGTTATTGGAGCTTGGGCTTTTTAACCTGCAATCCCATGGAGATGCATACACACCAGAAATAGATTTGCTAGTATCTAGTTCTATTGCATTATCTGACCAATTCTATTTTTGCTATTTCATGTGGATAATCTGTAGGTTGTAGATGACTGGGTACAGAACGGAGTGCAAGGCCATGTGGTTTTCAAATTTAAATTGAAGCGGCTTGAGGGTCAGCCATCATTGACGACTTCTGAGGTATACCTGAACAGAGACAGCAAACTGAGTTGGTTGTGCTGATATTACCCACTGTCTTGTTATAGTTTGGATGGGTGGCCTTCACTTATTTTATACTATATCGTGTCAACTGGTAGAGAAGAAATGTGGAAATAACATGAGACTTCTCAGATTTGCTAATTCAATCACACATTTGCTAGTTCCAGTGCAGTTTTCCTTTCAGAAATATGTTTGTGTCGTTTTTCTGTAACTGAAATATGCTTTTGAATTGCGATAATATACTAATAATACAGCCACCGTTGTGCTTGACCAGTTGACCTTTTAAATGGAATCTATATTCCCTTGAATAAATTTAACTTTGCATTTTTGTATATACTGGAAATATCATGTGTTTGTGTCATCACATATCTGTGTGTCCAGGTGCGATTTACTCGTGCAGAAGCTCCCACAACTATTTCTGAATTGCCTGGGTAAATGATCCAAACACCTGAAGTTTCATTTTTTGTGCGTGCGGAATCGAAGTTTCTATTTTACCATTCATGATTTCATTTTTTTTACGATAAGTTATGTGTTCTAAAATAAAGTAGCTCGTATTGATTATATGTGTGCTTAAACATGGAGGATACAATATTGAAAGACTATTGTTGGTTGTATTGCCTTAGCCTGGAGTGCGAGTATGTATTCTCCCTTAGTTCCAAAATGCAAGTCATTTTAGTTTTGTCCTAAATCAAACTTCTCTATCTTTGACCAAGTTTAGAGAAAAATGCATAATGTAAACATTAAATTTGTTTCATTAAATCCACTATGAATTACGTCTTGATAATTTATTTATTTGGTATTGTAGATCTTAATACTATTTTATATAAACTTGGTAAAGTTAGAGATTTAACTTAGACCAAAACTAAACCGACCTGCATTTTGAAACAGTAGTAGTTTTTAGTTCAAGTATCTGTATAAACATGCCAATCTACTAGAGATAAAGAAGGATCTGTACCATATAGAAATCTTAATAACTAAATATATCTTTAAAGATTTGTCATATATCACATATGTGGTTGTGGTCATTTCACGACTGTGCTATGCTAACATCCATGCATGTATTCTTTTATCACCTTAGTCTTAGTGATACAGAGGTTATGTTTCCTTGAATGAAACTTAATCATATGTCATGTTTAATTTGATAGACTGGTTTGTGACGACATCTCTGGAGGGCAAGAAAATATTCCAATTCCTGCTACTAACTTGGTTGATGATCCACCTGTTCCTCCATCTGGTATGTTCAAATTTATCAATTGTCTATTTCATATTTTCTTTGTTGCAGGGCTGTTTGCATTGTTCCAATAAACTAGAGCAAATGTGTGTAGTGTGACTTTTAAATTTTGAACAAGCTACATCCTAGAATACATCAAATAGCACTATAGCAGTTTATATCGCAAATCAGATTTTTGGAACTTGTACTATCCAATGGCTCTTCCTCCTTCCACATTTTTTCCACTGATTTTTCTGCGAGTTTCAAATAAGTGACATTTTGAGTTGGTGTCGACCATTATATATTGAGTTTGGATATTCTGAAAACGATACAGATAGATTGTATCAAAATGTAGTTTCATAACACTATACTTTTGCTATGTTTTATAAATTTAATTACAACAAAAGTCAGTAGTCAAAGTTGTATTTTGATGATCATGTCTATGTCCAAAACATATCTTATTCTGTAACTGTTGGGAGTAGAACATAACAATACTTCCGTTTGCAGATCGGTTTACAAACAACAGTTAGCCAAGGTGCCCAACAAGAATATTTGGAAGTTGTACCAACAAACAAGATAATACAATGAAGTGCTCTTTGAAACTTTTAAAACATAATAGTAACTAAGCTACCCAAATTCAGTGCCAAACGTTTCTTGTTTTATGAGAATTTATCGTGTCGCTTCTAGCAGATCTGCTTTCTTCTATTCCTGTTCCTGTTTCAATTTATACACTAATCATCAGTGGCTGATTGCTTAGTGTCACCTTTGGCAACACTTTAGGTTTCACATACTTGAAGTCTCTAAAAATTCCAAAGGACATCAAGATTCCATCTAGTATTATTGGCTGTGATTGTGAAGGAGATTGTGCTACCAACAAAAATTGTTCATGTGCTCAGCGCAATGGTTCTGATCTGCCTTATGTATCATATAAGAACATTGGCAGGTAATCACAATGTTTAAATGGTTCAATACTTGGATGGATTTTGCAACTATTGTTTTTTTAATTTTTTTGCCTCTAATTCTATAGGTTGGTGGAGCCCAAAGCAGTTGTATTTGAATGTGGGGCTAACTGCAGTTGCAACCATGATTGTGTAAACAGAACATCTCAACAGGGTTTGCAGTATCGCTTAGAGGTTGGTATTTCTCTTTCCAAGAGTCTTGTGTTCTGATACTTCCTAGGATATCTATTTTATACTTTTTCCCCTATCAAAAACGTAGGAGAGCTGTGTTTTGTTTCATTAAGAAAACACATTCTTTCTTGTGCTTCCACAGTTTGGCCCCTTTCACAATTCTTCCGTTGGGAGTGACAGCTCTTACTAGCATTTGTATCTAGCTATATTTTGCTTAACAGGCTGAATTTTGCAGGTATTTAAGACAGCTTCAAAAGGTTGGGGAGTCAGGACTTGGGACACTATCCTCCCTGGGGCTCCCATCTGTGAGTACACGGGGGTGTTGAGGAGGACCGAAGATTTGGATGGTTCACAAAACAACTATTGTTTTGACATCGACTGTCTTCAAACCATGAAGGGTTTGGATGGAAGGGAGGTAATAGTTTTCTCATTTACTGTAACATGAAATATTGCCAAATTCTACTCCTATATCACTAGTCCTTTCTGTAATAATTATTTTAGGTGTGCTGAAATTTCATCAGATGCTGAGCACTCATGCTATGTACTCTGTCCTGCAGAAAAGAGCTGGATCTGAAATGCACCTGCCTAATCTTCATCCTGAGAATGATTCAGATGCACCTCCTGCACCTGAGTACTGCATAGACGCTAGTTCTATTGGCAATTTTGCCAGATTTATAAATCACAGCTGCCAACCTAACCTTTTCGTCCAGTGCGTTTTGAGCTCACACAATGATGTTAAACTGGCAAAAGTGACGCTTTTTGCTGCTGACACTATACTTCCTCTTCAGGTGAGAAGTGTTTGAGTTCTCTCAACCAAACAATAGACTCTACCAAAATAAAATTTCTGATTACCATGTGCTTTTCAGGAGCTATCCTATGACTATGGTTATCGCTTGGACAGTGTTGTTGGGCCTGATGGAAAAATTGTGAAGCTGCCTTGCCACTGTGGTGCTCCTGATTGCGGAAGCGCCTCTACTAGACCTGCAGTGTGTTTCTATTTGGATTTTGGAGGAAACAACTTATATTGTAGGGAAGCAGTCATGGTATCTATGTAGTTGACATGCTCTGATATATAGCAAAAGAGGAGCAACTTAATCTCCTTTTAGAGCATTCTTATTTTGTGAGCATTAGAGGACATGCTGGTCATGGTAGCATATTTTGCAGCCAACCAATTTTAACTGATATCTCTGGACATCTGGTCCTAGAACAGTTAACCTCTAGATAAATATATATAGATTACTTGTTTCCTCAATGGCTTGGATCTGTGTTTTTTCTGTCATGTGCCGTCGTGTGTGTTTTAATCAATGGATACATGGACTACTCAGATGCCATTTTCAAATTTTGATGGCAACTGAATTATCAAATAGCGACAAATACAATGTTGTCGATTCATGTAGCATTTTCTCCTGTTGAAATAGGTACTACAACTGATTCAATGGTATCTTGGATGTCTTGTGGTCTCTAGTGACTTGAATTTGAATTTTCGATGTCTCAGTACTGTCAATAGCTAGTAAGGCTTCGGGTGTTGGTGTTGCTGCTGGTGTATGTCAAATTGTTAATATGTCATGCTTTCATTCATATGATTTGATCATGACACTAATTTAGTAATTTGCATATCTCCCAGGATGTTAGCTGTGAGATTTCATTTGATCTCTGGTTTTAATCCTTACTAATTGTTACTCGTTGCTAATTGGCAGCAATAAAAAACTGCTTGCTAATTGTCTGATCTGATGGATATGTAATACCACTAAGCCAGACTGCATTTGCTGTACCACATTCAATTCTTGTAAAATTATGCTCACTGCTGAAAACCGCAAGCTTTGACGTCGATTCAAAGGCTGATAAATCCCAGCCGGGGCTGACGTCTTGGCGAGAGGCCTCATAGTCATAGCGCGGCGCACGATGTCTGCCAACGAGAACTCACCGCCGGTGGAGGCCGCTGCCGCTGCAGCTGCAGCCGCCGCCGCCGCGTCCACGCCACGGTCGCGGCTGCCGCGGTGGACGCGGCACGAGACGCTAGTCCTGATCCAGGCGAGGCGCGCCATGGAGCGGCGCGGCCTGCAGCTGCCGGCGGTGCGGCCGCGGCCCAAGTGGGCGGCGGTGTCGGCCTACTGCTGGCGCCACGGCGTGGAGCGCGGGCCCATGCAGTGCCGGAAGCGGTGGGGCAACCTGTCCTGGGACCTCAAGAAGATCGTCGCGTGGGAAGGAAGGCCATCGCTGGCGCCGGCGCCGGCGACGCGCAGCACGAGTCGTTCTGGGACATGCGCGGTGACCAGCGGCGCGCCAGGCAGCTGCCGTCGTCCTTCGACCGCGAGGTGTACGACGCGCTCGTCTGCGGCGCGTCCGCCGGAGACGGCGAGGACGCGGCCGCGGTCGTGATGCCGCCGGACTTCGGCGACGGGGAGCTGGAAGGGTGTACCGGCAGCCGCCCATCATGGTCATGCCCATATCAGGTCAGGACTCGTACTGGCATGTATGCGCACGTGACATGGATGGCATCACATGTTTGGTTTGTTTTGCATGCAGTGAGGAAGTACGAGCCCCCTCCTGCCTCTTCTGAACACGAATGCTCTGGTCCAGGTGCGCCGAATTGTTTCATCAATGTTACATACATGCATTATGCCATTATATCACGTGATTTTTATTTTATGAAAAAGAAAGTAACTACAACTTTTATCAGACCCGGCTACCGGGGGTCAACATGTCATCCAAATAGGCGTGGACTCTTTTCATATTTGCATGATAAGTGGGATCCACAACCTTTTTTAGCTCCTGGAATTTGTAGGTATTTGTTAGAAGGGTCAAAATTATTGTAGGTTTGTGAAATGGTCGATATGAATTCTAGTTTGAAAATGTACAAAATCTTTATATTTTTGTGAGATTAACTAAAAAAAGATAGTATTCAGGCGATCCAAATTACAAAATGTTTTTTTTATTGAAATTCGTATGCATTTGTTACTATGGTTAAAATTTGTTGGAGGTTTGTGAAATGGTCAACATAGATTGTATAGTTTTATGACATCGCAAATAGCTGTAGTTCGTTGAAATTAATCGTAGTTGCAATGAACTGCACGATAAGCTGTTTCGCGTGTGGCCATGGCAGTGACAGAGAGCGATCAGAAGAAGGCGGGCGCGGCGGCGTCGGACAAGAACTCGACGTCGTCGCAGCACGACGGCGGCGGCTTCAAGGACAGCGACGCGACGTTCGTGGCGGATCAGGCAGAGGGCACGGCCACGGCCACGCCGGCGGCGACGGCGACGGCGACGGCCAGCATTGGGAAGCAGGTGATCGAGGCCCTGGAGAGGGGCAACCGGGCGCTGGAACAGCAGCTGGAGGCGCACAGGAGCAGGTGGGACGCCGACAGGGAGCAGCGGGCGGCTCTCCTCCGCGCCATGGACAGGGTCGCCGACGCCGTGTGCAGGATCGCCGATAAGCTCTGAGGGTCCGGGTCGACGACGGGAGCTGCATGGGATGCTTCGGTTGCCTTCGCCGTGGACTGAATGAAGAGTGACAAATACAAGACGTGCATGCATAAATGCATTCAGAATTTCAGATAGCAGTGCACATGAAACAAGGACGATATATATACACAATGAAGTATAGCAGCTGTGAAACGGGGAACTGGAAACTCTTGAATCCTACTGAAATAATGAGATCTCTACCCACCTGCCCTACTGTCTCATCTGAATCTATCTACTACTATGATGAACATGCTGCTGTCTTGTCTTGCTCAAAAGTCTGAAACGTTGTGCCGTGGGCCGTGGCGTGGCTCCAGGTCCAGGATTTGGAGCCGGTCTGGATGGCTGGATCACTCTCGTCTTTTTTTTTAAAAAGTGGATCGCTCTCGCTTTTGCTAGTTCGTGCGTTGAGCTTTTCTGTCTTTATGAAAAGGCACCTCGCCGCAGCGATCGGTTCTTGGTCTCTCACTCCCCTAGCCCTCTCCCTGCTATGATTAGCGATCGGTTCTTGGTCCGTGCTTTTACCGACTGAATCTGAATCTAGCCCTGCTCTGTTCATCCGTAATTCACTAGCTTTTTTGCTCCTTTTTTAGTTTGAGGGGTCATGTACATGTGCTGCAACTCAAATGTTCAACAAGCCCTTCCCTGTGGCTGTGGGATCATGCTACTGAGTAGTACTGACTGTGACTGTGCCAGTGTTCATGTTCCTGACTGTGACTATGATGCCGGGTTCACAGTGAGGCCAGGCCAGGTGTGAGCACTGCACAGCTCTCACTCAGCTAGTCAGCTTGAGGCTTTCCAGTTCAGAATTTCAGACGCTGCTGCCCTGCCTCTGCTCTGCTCGCTCATCAGACAAGTGGCTACAGCTTCATAAGCAGCGCACGTGAAGGAAGAATATTCAGGCGACGCCGCGACGACGCAGGAGCCGACCAGGCAGGCAGTCAGCTAACTCTTGCTCTGTTCTTCTCGCCTTGTCTGTCACTGCAGCCGCGACACAGGTGCATGGCATGGGATTTCTCGATCTGAGGCGTCACACCGGAGCCCGGTGCGGTGCTCCGGAGTGTCCCCAGCACTGCACGGATCCGGTTATTTCGCCGCGCGTGCTGGATGGGGGGGCTGCCGGCTGCCGCTAGTGTTTAGTTCAGCAGACCGCGACGCGAGGTGGTCTTGTTCGGCCAGTGCATGCAGTAGGTGAGACGATAGCTATCGTCCTATCGATACAGCGTGGAAGCAGAATGCATGATCCTCCCTGAACCTGAATGAACACATATGCTCTGCTGAATGGATGCGTGAAGGAAGAAAACACGGGGATCGTGGAGCACGGGCACTTGCGTGGCATATACACATATACATATACATATACATATGGCTGCTTGCTTGCTGCATACATGCATGCTACATTATTCAGAATGGAAAAAAAGCAATGAAAGAAATGGAAATAAACGGACTGGAAGAAGAAATAGATTACCACTAACAGACTATTACAAACTATATATGCAGCTGCTACTAGTTATGTATAAATATAACAAGCACATACAGCAGTATCATACTCTATATATGCGGTATATATATAGACTATAGTACTATACTAGCTATGGTGGTCATGAGCCGTAGCATCCCAAAAACCAGGACAGCGTCCTGGCATGGCCGCCGCCGGGCGAAGACGCCGCCGCCGATGTGGCGTCGTTCCAGCCTGCTGCAGCACCCAGCAGTGCCTTCCTGTGCTTCTTCTTCTTCTTCTTGGTGTGCACCACCTTCCCGCGCACCGTCACCTCCTTCTTCCCGAAGTCCACCATGTAGTCCAGCAGCCCTGCTAATGGAATGGACACAACACAAGCACAGACATGAGCTATGGATGAGCAGGCAGCAGTACGTACGTACAATGGCCAGTAGGCCAAGATGGATGCGTAAGAAGGAAGAACGATGCATTAGTTAGCACTGCTAGTAAAGGTAAACGCATTACGGACATCACATGATGCGTCCTAAACTCCTAATGACAGGTAATTGGTGGTGATGGTCCATATGTACTTATGCGAATTAACTGACATGAGTACATGGCATCTCTGAATGTGGATGCTCACCGTTCATCTTGGAGACGACGTTGGCGACCCGCTGCCGGCAGTGCGAGCACCCCATGTTGGCGCTCATCACCACCACCTGCACCTGCGCATTATTATTCCAGCAATTTCTCTTTATCAGTTTCATCTCTACATCAACACACTCACTCTCCATAAACATCATTATTGGCATCCATCACCACCATATATATACAACTCATCATGCATCATCTGCATTTGCATTGCTTCTACGTAATGAATAAGGGTGCATTTGGCACTTGGCAGGGATCCTTCGTGTTGTTTCCCCGCCAAAACGGCACCCAAGGTATAAGGTATGGAGTATGTACCAGCTCGCTATCCAACCACCGATCCGTTCAGCGATAGCACGGCACGTATGAATCGATCAGATCGATGCTTGTTTGGCCAAAATGCAAGTTGGGTTAGATAGATAGCCTCGCCTTAGCTGTTGACATTAATCATGAACGGTTAAGTGGTCACAGACTTATATCCTAATTAAAAGCTAGTTAATTAACTAGCTACCTATGCGTCCATCACACCTAACCATTATTCCACCTTCCACTAATCAGGACGTACGGCTAGAGTTCATTGTACATTTATAAACTATTTGTGAGGAATATACGTACCACAGGGGAAGAGAACTATGATATAGCCATATAGGGTACATATATGTTCCTCTCTCAAATACCAAAAGTCACATGGCCGCCACTCTTGAACCCTAATGCAGATTGTACTACTCCTATAGTCCTGTCAGGCAGCCAGCAGTGGTATTACTATTATTATATCTCCCTGTCTCTGTGCCTCCACGGCACATCATATCATAACAATATCACTAACATATAGTATATGCTAATCTATTGGCTATGCAAGCCACTTGCATTATAGTATGAATACTGTATCACGTGCAGTGTGGCCTGGGCTGGGTCGTCTGGACTAGTCGCATGCCTACCGTTGTGATCTTCCCTTGTTGGTCTATAGTGATCAGGCCAAGACTTTTTCAGATACCATGCAGAGCAAATGCATGTGGCCATCATCCCTTGTTGTCGGGATAAAAATTACTGCGAGGATAGATGTAATGTAAGTAGCAGGGCCATGACGCATGTCAGTAATGCATGTACACAACAACGTCTCTCTAAAGAATCTTCAGAAGAAGAAGCAGGATGTGGAAAGCGTCAGTATCGCTGACGCTCTTTTGTTCATTCTACAGTGTAATCTATCACTATAGTCTACAAACCCATCCATCCTGATAGCGATCAGCGAATCATTGTAGTATCTGTTATCGAAATTCCCTTTGTCTAGACGTAAGAAACTTGTGCAGATGCTGGAAATTAAACTCATTAAATATAGATAATGTTCGGTCAGAGCTATAACTGATGGTGAAATGCTGGACACTGAATCAAATGGGAGCACGCATGTGTGTATACTTGCATGCATTGGTCAAAATCAAATGGGATAAGAGAATGGATTAACGAGTGAAGGGGATGGTTTACTTAGGCCCCGTGTAGATTGAAGCTGCTAAAATTTAAACAGCTAAACCAGTTGCTAAACTTTAGCCATACCTGTTTAGTTTGATGGACTAAAAGAACACTTTAGTCCCTTTTAGTCAGGGTGTTTAGATCCAAAGTGACTAAAAGGTGAGGCAGTCCGGGCTTTAGTCCCGTTTAGCAACACATTGGTGACTAATTGGCTAAATACCATTTTAGTCCTATTTAGTCATAGTATTTAGGAAAAAAGTGACTAAATGAGACTAAAATTAACCAGCTAAACTTTAGCGGCCCAATCTAAACACCCCCTAAATTTATTAATTCCACATGCATGCGCGTGTACATATCAGGTCAAAGGAAGCGTACGTGTACGTGTTGCGTAGCACATGCCTTGGATTTGACGGCATAAACACGCAGGAATACGGACGGATAGATAGCCTACCCCGGAGAAAATGACTCTGAAGCAACCTAGCTCCACGAATAGGATGCAAACATTCCTGCACTGTCACCTAAATTCATTTCTTATTTCTTTTTTGTTTTGAAAAAAGAGACAGAAACTTGCCGGTCAAAGCAAAGGCTAATACTCCTACTACTGCTAGTAGTAATCTTCAACGGTAGGAATAAGATGGTATTCATCAGGCATGGCGGCTACAGTTCTTGCCTGCTCATGCTTGGCACGTGATGTCTGCTCATGCCTTGGCCTTGTCTACTGCTTATGGTCAGAAGTCAAAAACACTGCGAGAGAAGAGAAGGAGACACCGAAATCGGTGACGGCTTCACCATCGTCGTGGCAAGACAGGCAGCTCGAGCTCCCAGCAACGGCCAACAGCCGACAGCTCAGCTGTGGCCGAGACCGGCACAAGAAACAAGCGGCACCAATAACATCGCAGAGCATAGACCGGCGCAAGAAACAGGCTACAGTTGCTGCATGCGTGCCCGGTGTCTGCTACCAGATTCAGTCTTGCTAACAAGTTACTGCGTGCTACTCTCTCAATCGATTTCCATGTGAACAACAACAGTAATGTGTAGTAGTTCACAGATTCTGATCTCCAGGCTGATCAGATCACTTCCGTCTTATTTCCATGCAGGGCAGGGCAGGTTAAGAGATAGAAAGAGAGACAGACAGACAGGGAAGTAAACTGCTCCCTGCAGTGGAGTTGTTTGGCGGATTGGCACTAACAGTAACAGGGCGGGGCCTTTCACCTTTACGCTAAAAGCCAGACTGGAAGGCAAAAGCGATTGCAACAGGGGCCTCTTGAGAATCCAAGGAGATAACCACATCTCTTCTCCCTCGATGAGCAGAGAAGAAACAGTGGGACAACGGACACTGAATGTGTGGAGCTGGAGACTGTCGGAAATGCAGTGAAGGATGTAGTGACTTTACTGTTAGTCTGTTACTACCACTGAAGCCTGAACTGATAGGCTCCATTGAGAAACATGTAGTGATGGACAGGGCTAATGGTTTCTGGAACGGCAAAGGCTAGCATCCTCAACGAAGGAAGAAGAACAGAATTCTTCGGCAGAAAGAATGGCTCTAGTTTCAGCAGAGTAATAATAATCTAAGCTGGATTTCAAGAACCCAACGACATGCAAGCCATTGCAGATTTTTCATTTCTGGGTACTGATCAGCTAGCTGACAATGATGAGAGACAGAGAGAGAGGGAGAGAGCGTACCGATGGGAGAGAGAGGTCCTCTGCAAACCTCAGAGCTTGCAGCTTGCTTGGTGTGCTGCTGACGGTTGCGTCCGACGAAGCGCCGAAGCTCCTCTTGGAGGAGGACGACTCACTCCCCATGTCGTTTTCATCCCTCCGTGCTCCAGCTCCATGTCCATGGCGGTGTGGCGTGGGCTCTTCTTGAGAGGCTTGAGCTCCGCCTTTCCTGTCCAACGACAGCACCCAAGGCTTCTCCTTTTTATACTAGCTATTCTAGACAAAGAGAGAAAGGATGTCATGTCACAACAGTTACTTGCCGAGACCACCCACTGAGAAGGGCGGATTATTTTAATCACTTGTGAATGAAATTAGGTGTAGGATGAATGGAAGGTGAACTCCAGCAATCATGCTTATTTGCTGATGGATCTCCTTTTCCAAAGACCCACCCGGTCCATCCCAATGTGTCATGGTCATTCACTTTCATAGTTTCATTGGATGACTAGGATTATACGTATATATGATGTCAGTTGTCTTGGAGGCAAGTGCCAATTTCCAACTGAAGGTGGGCCCACCTTGTATTGGATTCCTCTGTCTTCTTTGTTTTCACTGTTACAGTAACAGATTAAGAAATCACCACATCAGAGAGGTTACTTGCAGTGCCAAAAGTAAAAAAATAGAAAGGCCTACAAAGTCTAAAATGGTCGCCATGGATGCTGAAATGTGACATTGGAACAACAAAATACAGTCAGGATCTCTCCAGGATCCATATGCTACAAATTTTAGGATCTTTAAAAGTTTCTGCAAGGAAATCCTCCTGCAGCTATGCATATTTCACCAGCACACACGCGCGCGCGGGGAGAAAAAGGTTCCAGTTCTTGCCACCTTATAGCGTGATGGTTTTAAGATGTACTAGGTAGAGTTGATATTGAAAAATAAAGGAACAGAGCAACAACAGTTGCAGTGATATAAAAAGGAGGATCGAAGTGCTGTTTAGGTACACGTAAATAGTATGTAGTTTCTGCTATATATTTTCTCTAGTATCTTTAGGTATCTTTACTGTTCTGTTAGCACGAAATGATTAGCATATATTATCCTTCAAACTTACAACAAAAGGCCAGGATAAGAGACACCAAGCTATTGTTCTTTAAATGGTAGGCAAAGAAGAACCATCAATCTCCCAAACCCGAGATGGCCAGAATTAAAGCGAAAACCGAAGATCATAGCTGGCATGCATTCAGTGTTCAGCAATACTGAAAGTACGATGGAGCTAGAACCGAAAAACCAATGAAATTCCATACTCATGGCTCAATGCAATTCAGCAGAAACTTTATTTAAGAAACATGAAAAGAAACTGAAAAACAAATGGCCTAGAATCTCCAAAAACAAGGATGACAAAAACTGAACCCTGATTGATGTCATACACAAGACAGATATACACCCTGATTGGATAAGCAGCTATCATTTTCTTGATGTACTTGCACCCATTTTTAAGGGCAAACCGACACACTACCTAAAAACTTTGAAAACTGTTAGCACCTAGATTGTTAAAAACATACACAGCAAATCACCATAAATAGTTGAAGGTCCAGAGTACCCAAAGGAAAATTCAGACAATGCTGCAAATTCCATGTAAAAAAGGGGGGCATGCCTCTGCCCACCTAGCAGTCTAGCACCTACTACCCTTCATAGGCAAGCTACTGACCAATGTCCTGTTCGGTTGGCTGACTGTTGGCTGATTTGTTGTTAAAGAAAAATATTATTCGTTGGCTAAAAAAGTACGGCTTATAAGCCAAGCGAACAGGGCACAAGATTGCATTTTTCAGGTTCCAACATCAGCGAGGACAATAACTTCCACTTCGAGCATTACTAGCAACGTGTAGTTTACAGAGTAATATGCGATTCTCTGCATAATTTAGGTGTGATGTTGACATCTGGATGGTATTCGAAATAATCTCCAGTGTTGCATGTGAATACCACAGAATGCTTCAAGTCTCTTGCTCACATGAATTTATCTGTCTCTGTCGTTCTTAAGTTTCTTAGATCCACTTGGGAGGCAGAAAACTTCATATTTGAATGCAAAAACACTTAAAAACAGTTGCACTTGAGCACAAGAAAAACACAGACTATGCTCGCTCAACAAGCAATCAGCTGGTGAGGTCTTGTCTGAGAAAAAAAGGGAAAATAGTAAGTTAAATCAGCAAAAGCATTTGAAGTTACAGGAAACTAGTTGCGTACTACATTTGACAATAGGATACAAGTGCAGACCAAAAAGTCAGATTGAAAAAGGGTACATTAATACCAAGGCATCGTCTAATTTTATTTTAAGCTGCCTACATCATATGAAAGGACCACAAAATACGTTACTTATTCCTGCCTAACATTTCCTTTGAATGAGGCAATTACAAGGCTGGAACCAAGGAAAATGATATCCAACATGCAATAATTGAACGAAATTCAGTAAATTTATCACAATTCAATTTTGTACTGGAACTGTAAATTTCACAGTGCTGACATGTGCATGAATTTATAGGGAGGGCTGAAGGTAAGTACAGAAATGAAGTACCTAACAAGCATTACAAGATATCCAAATAACCAAAAAAAAAAGAGGAGTATTTAGTGTATCCACAAAGTCAGTTATACTTGATTGATATGTGCTGATATGGACCTCCAAACAGCCTAAGAGGGTGACTACAGAAGACATCATCCTCTTGTTTCATGGACATTCAAACAGCTTAAGAGGGTGACTACAGAATAACCATTCTTTTTTCAAAGTCTGCAAAAATCATATTCTGATGGCAAGACAAATCATCTCAATAGAATTATCTAGCAGTGACAAGCGACAACGATATTTTGGGCAATCTGTCACAAGGAACACCGAAACACATCATTGGTTGACGATTATGTGTTTCCTTTCTTCAACTGTACTGCAGTGTCGGCAGATCCAATAAAGAGAGATCATTTACATTAATGTTCCATTACACCAAAAATTAATCAACAATGAAGTTGGTGATTGCATACAGTGCTCATCATGAAGCAACTAAAAGAACAGAACGGCTGACACAACACATAATCCCTACCGGGGAGCCTGTAGCGGCATCAATTGGCAGTCGATGGCAGCAGTAAAAAAACAATGCTACAGTAAACCTTAGTTTAAGTTACATTACTTTCTCGTTTTGTATTGTGCCTCTCCTTATTTCATGGTAAAAGAACTCATTTCCAAATTTTAACACATGTCAGACCTGGTCTGCAATTGGTAAAACATGGGAATTTTGAAGAGTTGATCAAACAGTACTCTTCACAAATGAGACAGTAAGGACAAGATGATTAATGGAGACAAGTAGAACAATTTAAAATGGAGCGATAGAGAAGGGTGGAGTCATTAGTTCATTACAATTGGCTATTGGCTACTTCTGCTACTATACATGTTTTAATGTATGATCCTCCTTGTAGGAAGGGCACTTGGTTCCAAATGACATGACCCTTTTGGTATATCATGATCTTTGATGTCAACAATCACAAAAGCAGGAACACGATGGGAAAAGCTGAGCATTTCAGACCTTGGAATCCACCTTGTCAAATGGAAATCTTCCATTACTACCCTATGAAAAAAGGTAAAGTAACTTTTTACCCGAGCCAAGCTGCACACATTTACTCCATTTTCATCAGAGTAGTCTGAGAGGATCTCAACCATGCGAGGTTCACATTTGTCAATGTCAGTGCTATTCAAGGTGATCTTCCAATTTTTTAGCATTGCCCATATTTCCCCTTTTGGGGGGAAAATTAGTTAAAAAGACCTTTTTGCACTCCAGTCACACTCTACAGGGTGTGAGAATTCCCAGATATCCTTGTATGTAGTTTCAGTACCAGCTGAAATACCCCAGAAGCAACTGGTAGACCATCTTCAACCCACTGTATCTCTTCATTAAGCATAGGGTGAGGTTCCAACTTCAAAACAAAAACTGAGGTATATGAAACCACATGGATAATCCTGACATAAGACCTAGGCATCGGTCCCGAGAATCAAACACAGCCCATATTTGACCCTCTAGAAAATCCTTGGGGACCACTTGGTATTGCAGCTCATCATGGCTTGCATTGGGGAACCTGCTTCAATTTTGCTTGTTGATGAAGGATTTGAGAATTTTGCAACAGCAGTTTCAGGAAGCCATTTGTGTCATCATGCAAACCTGAAAGCTCAGAAAATGAGAAATACACGTTGATGTATTTTCTTGGTGAATATTTTCTGGAACCATGGAATGTTCAAGCTCAAACATAGTTCCGGCCTCAGGAGTAAATCTGAAAGAAGGATCCTGTGAGAGAACATGATCAGATTGTCCCTGTGTATGCGTAACAAGTGCTCTGTTCCACTCTTGAAGTGCCTCTGGAAAACACTTCCATTCCCATCTACCTTTACCAAATGTGCAACAGTGCATCCTGATTCACTAGAATAACTGGTAAGAATTTCAACAATAGAGAAGGCACTATTCTTCCACATCCTAGGATCAGTGTACCACCCAATACCCCAATTACTATAAATGGCCCATACCTCACCTTCCTGGGGATAAACTTCAAGATGTTGATTCAGGTTGTTGCTGAAAATTTGGTGACAGAACATAGTTGAACATGTTAATGAGATATGGTGTTCTTCTGCAATGAAAGTTCCACAAACCAATGGCAAGCCAGCATGGCACCATTTCTTATCTTCAGGAGTTTGCGGACAGGGCTTGAACCATGAGACATATAACTGCATCTTATCCGTCGGTACTTTAACAATCAGTGCATATCTACGAGGAAACTTCTCCCAGTCATAATGCTGCCCAAACTTGGCCAGCAGCAAAATTCTTGATCGCCCTATCTTCCTTGAAGTTATGGTATTCATACTGCTTGCTAGTGCAGAGCTCATCTTCTTTGGCACCAGATGGATCATCAAAGCAGGCATCCAAATCTTCTTCCATGGCAGGTGATGGATCATCAAAGCAGGCATCCCAATCTTCCTGTGAGGGCGACATGCAATTAACATCCTTTTCACAGACACCCTTTTGCCTCTTGTCAACATGAGTGCCGTCAGGTGACTGCAACTCGCCGTCATCACCATGAAAGCAAGGATCCATCCTCTTAGTCCCGGAAGAACTTGCCACATTTGAAAGAAGGGGGTCCCTTCCATCAAAACATGGCCTGTCAGCAGCGTGGTTGACATGCGAGGCTGCATTGCTCGCTCATCTGCGCCCCTAATCTCCTTTGTATGAAGACTGTTCACCCTGTCAGAACGGACGACTGTACCACCGGGCGGTGGCGCATCAACAACACCAGACCGAACGAACCGATTGAACACGTTCCTCGAATTGAACCCCTCTCGCTTCTCCGGATCAGACAGCACCACGTATGCCTCATCAACGAGCTTGAGGGCCAATTCGACGCCGGGCAGAGCCCCCATGGCCGGCTCCACCTGGGCCACGATGCTCTTGTAGCGCGCCTCGATCCTGGTGCCATCATCTCCGGGCAGCACCTGGAGGACCCTGTACCAGTCCACACCCCCACGGCCGCCGGCCGCGCTGCCGGCGGCACAGCAGAGGACCTCGAGCACCAGGAGCATCTCCAGGGCGCCCTCCAGCCTGGGGTTCGTCTGCAGCGTCCGCAGCAGCAGCGCCCTCGCGCCCGCGTAGTCCTGGGCCCGCATCCTCGCCGTGATCGCGTCCCGCTGCGCCTCCTCCGCCTCCCCGTCCTCCATCCTGCGACGGAACCACCGTCAGAGCCAAGCATTGCGCCGTGGATTCCAATTGGAATTTAACCGAACTCATCGCGCCAGAGCCTAGCCTACGCGTTCGATCAGACGGGATTGGGCCCTTCAGTGGGGAATGGGGAACGGGGATTGGGTCCTTACCGAACCAATCGATCCTGCTCCGCGAGGTCGCAGCGCCGAGGGGTGGGTGCGGATGGAATTGGGCGAGGAAGACCTAAACCCTAGCACAGCAGCCAGCCATGGATTATCTCGCCGGATGAACCGATCGGATCGATTTGGGTGTCGCTAGTAGTAATTTGCTATGCTGCCTGCCAGTGTGGAAGAAACCGAGGCTTTCCAGTTCTACGATACTGGAGTAAGCTATACAAATAAACTGGGCCTCAAAGGAGTCGTGACGAACAGTATGGGCACGACCCATATTGTTTATTCTGTCCTCTTTGTGGCCTGGCCCGCTACTAATATGGGTCTACATGCGATCTCACATGGGCTGACCGTCTCGCCGTCGCCTCCGCGGCACTTGGGGGGGTGCAGCGAGGTCCCCACACGTCAGTGAGGATCACGTCGCGGCGGCCGAAAAGAGGGGCCGAACACAAGCGGCGGGAAAAGGAAAAAGGGACCTCAAAGTACGGGCCCCGGTATAATGACGTCCCATGCTTCTGTCGAAAACAAACACTGACGTGTGGGGACCTCCAGAGAACATTTCAGTTTTAATGAAATATATAAAAATCATTAACATTTATATATCTAAGAAATATTAATAAATATTTACTCTACTTCAAAATTTTAAAACGTTTTGATACCAGTGGACTACCCCGCGCGTTGCCACAGGAATTATAGATTAGGGAATTACGTGGTAGGATGACTAGGACAATAAAATGTTATGTCTTGCTAACATGGACGCTACAGTTTCATGTGCCAGTGGACTATAATTTTGTCGGGTTCATAAATCCGAGGTCCTCAATGGACCCGCTTCCCTGCAATACTTGGCTCAGCAGGCGGCGCAGCGACAGCGCGCGTCTGGGCCGGCCTAGATACACAATGACAGGCCGAGACCACGATCCGGTCCCCAACCGGCACCTCCGGCCAGGAGACCTGGTCGGAGCCCCGACCGGAAGGGCTGGCCGAGATGGGACTGCAGTCCAACTCCGACCCCGTTCCTCTGACCGAGGATATGGCGGACCTTTGCTCTTCTCTCTTTCTCGACCGACACGGTCGGGCCGATTGGGAACGACCGACCAGGACGCCTGCTCGGTGTGGGCCCGGGGAGCAGGCGGAGCAGATAAGGTAAGGCGCTCAAGTCAACCGTAATATCGAGGACCGTACCATGCCATGCCCTGCGCACCTGCAGGACGGTACCGTCAGGCCATGTCAGACGGACGCTATACAGCCTGCCAGATGCGGTAGAGCACAAACAGTATTGTGGGCGCCGTCGTTTGTCTTCCCAGGAGAACACTATGCAACCTGCCAGGTCATGAACAGTAAGGTGGGCGATGGCGTGCCGTACCCGACGACGTGGGCAACAAGACTATGTAGCACCCGTACACACTCTCTCCCTTTCCGTCTTTGACTTGTAAGGTCATCCCCTTCATCTATAAAAGGGGATGCGCTCTCTCCTCTGAGGACGACAGCTCAACAGCTCTAGAACTCGACAGCTACACAGTATACACGCTCTCAACAGCTGATAAGCTCGAATACACAGAGCATACGCTTCAATACTTAGCGCACGTTTGAGCATCCGTCAGTTTCTTCCACTCGGTTTCGAGTCCGACCGGGCCTCTAGCACCCCATTCTCATTACTTACTCGTTTGTAACCCCACAGCAAATTTCGAGCATCTAGGTTCAGGAATAAAGTCATCGACCGACTGAAACTGGATGTAGGGCACGTTGCCTACACTAGTATAAATCCTATGTCATCGCGTGCTAGGTCACATCCGATCACAACGCACGGTAAAACTACAAATATTTACTTGTTGGATACATTTTGCACCGACAAATTGTATGTGATAGTGTATTGGTAGTTGGACAACTTGCATGTTGAGATAAATAGCTAGTGGAATTTTACTTAGCGGATGTTAATTGTATGTGATAGTGCATATCTAGTTTGACAGCTTGCATGTTGAGAGAAATAGCTAGTGGAGTTTTGCTTTATAAGAGTATAAGATTTCTAGATATATTATTTTACTATATATAAGGAGACATAGCTGTAACACCCCTGGTGTTACAAGCTTGTTTAGCACCGTGATTTAGGCCTCAGTAAAATTTTTTAAACGAGTTTCTCGAAATTTTTGGATTTAAAATGTACTTGATGCGATAAGCGAATCTCATGTGACTTAGTTTTGTGGACTCAAATAAACGCTCAAGTTAAATTACGCAGTGCGTAGAGATATTTAGAAATGTCGAACGACGATTCTAGCAAATGGTTTGTTCTGTTAGATTAAGCATGAAAAATATTTTTTATAAATAGAATAAAATCCATTAATAAATAGAACGATATATATATATATGGATATACTCACGGGTTTATTTTGATAAGCACGAACTGATGAGAGAGAGAGAGCGCAACAGCTTCGTTTACTTTGCTGGTGCGGTTTCAGCGTACTCGTCTTGCTTTGCAATTATGCACCACCTCGTCTTCCGTCGTGGCTCTGCACCTCAGCGCGTCCATTTGCCTGCACCCCTGTTTTCTCTCCCTCGCTTGCATCGTGTCCAAAATTTTAATGGGAGCACGTGGCTCTGCCGTGTCCATGCCTCACTGCTCTCTCTCCCTGCGCTCCTTCTTATGCACGCTAAGGTTCAGCTGTTGTCTGTCTCTGCTTGTCCTTGTGGCCTCTGCTACGTCAAGCCGTCCAGCTCCGCTGCTCACTTGCTTCTTCCAAATCAAGTGTCTCTGTTGTTGCCCGTGAAGCCAAGCATCGTGGCTGCATCGCCAAGTCCTTTCTAACTCGTCGACCGAACCACGTGCTCGGACAAGTTCGCTCAGGTTTCCTCACCCTTTTTCTCTACGCCGTCTTCTCACCTTCCTGTGCGCGCGCTGGCATGCCACTGGCGGCCGCATGGTGCCATGCTGCCCTATCTCCTCCCTCGTCGCGTCTATGAAGCTGGTGACGAGCCACGCATGACGCCTAGCTCTTCCTCGCGCGTCTGCTCCTCCTTGCCTCCATCCGTTCCCCTCTCTACCGTCCAGCCACCGTGGTTACGCGCCGCCGCACCGCGCCTCACGCCGTCTGTGGCCGGTCCCCTCGAGAGCACGCCTGGGACGTGTGGCCGCGACGTTCCATCTCCAGTGCCCGCTGCCCCACAACGCCTGCCGAGGCCGCTGTCGCCGTTACGCCTTGTTGCTCCACCTCCCCCTCCCTTCTCCTTGTTCTGCTGCCTTGTCGAGAATCTCGTGCTGGGCCGGTTGCTCCTCGGCGCCCCCTCCTGTTTCCTCTCTGCGAGCGCACGCCTGGGCCGCGTTGCCCCGCGCCGCTTCCCTTCTAGGACGGCCACAACACCGTTGCCCCTCCCATGCGCCCGTAGCCATCGGAGCATCGGCGCGGGTCCATGCTGGGCCGATCCGCAGCGCCCCACCGCCGCGCTGTCCTTCTGCGCCACCATTGCGCCTCGCCGTGGCCGCTTGCCTTGAGGCAGCGCAACTCTGCCTCACCGCACCGCCACGCGGAAGACCACGCCGAGGGTCGCCTCTTGGCCGCGCCTTTCTCTTTGACCGAGCCTCTCCTGCGTAGCCGCCTCCACGCCGCGCCTCCTGTGCGGCCGCGCCGTGGCCCGCTGCTCCGGGCGCCCTCCTACCGGACCTCGGTCGCGTCCGTCGCACAGCCGCGCCGTGGCCTATTGCTCCGGGCGCCCTCCGCGCCGCCCCTGCACCACCACCTCGCCGCCGGCGTGCCCTCACCATGGACCCGCCCGGTCACGTGCATCGACGCACGTGGCAGGGGCACCATGCTGTTGCTCTGGCTGAGCCGCGTCCTCCAGCGGGTGCGCCCGGCATCGGGCAAGCCGTGAAGCCGCCTCCCCACCACCGTCGACGAGCGCTCGGCAGGATTCTACCACCGGCCGGTGCTCCCCTGTCCGTGATCTGCTTTGGGGAAGGAGGTGAGGACGTAAATGTGTAAATAGAGATAACAGTAAGGGCCTAGGTGCGATAAACGTGACTCACATGAATAGTGTAGTCGGGACTACAGATCGATTTAGAAAAACTACAGGGTCCTTTTTGCATAATTACGCATCCTCTCTGGATCATGGCCGCGTGGGCTGGTTGTTGGGCCGTGGCCCGCGCACCTAGCCCGACCGCGCCAGCTACCGGCCTGCCGTCGCTGTCTGGGCCGCTCGCGCCTGCGCGGGGCCGGCCTGTCGCGCGCCCCTTTGGGCCGCCCGTTGCCTGCGCGTCTGTGGGCCGTCCGTCGCTGTGCGCCTGGGCCGCGTATCCGCTGGGCCGATCTGATGGCCACTGGCCCTTTTAGATTTCTAAAGCAATTGTTAATTTAGTTTCATAAATAAACTTGTAAAATTCGTAGTAAATTATAGAAAAATCATAAAAATGCCAAACTAATTTTGTTAGTCTCCTAAAATCGTGGTCTACCTGTTAGTATATTTTGTTCATATAGTGTGATAATTTTCTTGGGAGCTATATAATTAATTTATGGTACTTAATATGGTAAAAATATAAATTTGTAGGAATTATTGTGATAAACTGGTAATAGTGTTGAATCTAAAATTTTTACAGTGGGCTCCTAGCAATATTAGGTATTCACTGTAATTTTTGTAGCTCCAGAATAATTAGTTGCTAGATAGACAATGATATCCTATTTCGAATATAGTAAATCAAATAAATGAAATATAAAAACACATTTGGTTCGTATAACTAAAACTTTAGTTAGGAAGTGACTCCTTATTCGACAACATGGATACGTAGACTAGCGCGTTAAAACTATCTTGTTAGCTTATGAGACGTAATTGGATTTCTAAGCATTTCGGCTGTCGTCGATTAT